ACTACCTGACTATTTAGTGTCATTCAATGTTTCAGACTTTTTTCTATGATATTAGTAAACTGTCAAAAGCGCAAAAGCTCAGGCGGTTAGAGTTACTTACATATAGCTTCGTTACAGAGAGCCAAAGCTGCAGCACAATCCCCTTTCTGCTCCTGATTCAGTGACTCTTCAAAGATTGAGTCTGCTTCCTGCATCGACTTCTCAAAGCCATCACTCCTCCCTGCAATGGGCAGCACCCTTCATTTTGGTTTCATTCATTGCAGAACTCTCACTTACCCTCATCCCATTTGTGACTTCCAAATTCTTCCACATATGGAGTCTCGCAGAGGTTGCACATATCCCAGACTGTACCACCTAACCTTCCCTAAGCAGAAGTGTAACTTGAGCACCCTGATATGCTTGAGATCCACACAGTAAAACAATGAGATTTTTTCCATCAAATTTTGTTTACTCGAGAGAGTTGTACTGGCTTATTATATTAACAGTCTGAATCAGTACAAAAAGATAGTACGGACATAGCACTGAGTCCAGATTACTTCTGCCAAGTAGGAATTAATCTAAATGTAGAATTAAAGCTAAACCAAAACATATCAGTAAAAAATATAGCAGGTCAGGGCTTTCCTTGTACGTTATCTGAAGTTCCCTGCCAAAAATCATCTGTCTCTTCTTTGGATATCCTATTACTTCCACACGAAATGGAAACAAACCGAAACGACTGAGATGTCTGGGGAACAAAACTCAGACTTGAGTGCGAGTGTAAACACCTGCACAAAATACTTCTACAAACACGTGTTCAGTTCACACACTCAACCACTGAAAGAGACATATGGATATGAAAACCCAACAATCTTGCAGCTTTAGAAGGAAAAACACAGGTCTAAGAAGCCAAGAAGAAAGGGTCAATTGTCAAGAAATCTTTTTGGAACAATTTAGAAAACAGTGTTGGAGAAGAGAAGGATGAATCATCCTTGGACACAAAAGAGAAAAATAAGACACTGTATCGTGGCATCAGAACATCCAGTTCTGAGAGGAGGAAATGCCCAAACAATCTGGTGTCACCTATTAGGCATTATGCAAGTTATGCACTAAAACGTACACATTCAAATGAGGCAGGGGAAAATATAAAATAAAACTTGCCATTTTGTTTTGTTTGAGGTGATTTTTTTTTTTAATGGGATGTCTCTGTCATTGTGGTAGAGAACATGAGTATCTTTATCGGCCAACAGTAAATTACTTTTTCTCAACTTGCATAACGTACACTATGGCCTGGCCTGCTCCCCAACACCCTTGTGCATAGGTGCAAACACCAACTCTCTTGTACCATAAACACCAAAGAATTCACATGAAAAGCAAGTACTGCAAAGAGAAGTGAGAGTTGTTAGAGCAGTGAGTTAATCAAGCAGCACATTCAGTTTCAAAAATCAGGGCTACTGAGGCTTTTAATCAAGGCTGGCATACTAAAGTTAGCTTTCTTTGCATGACTTTAGCAGCTTACTTGAGGGAAAATGAGTCACAAGTGTTCTGGAGTTCTGCCTACAAGCAAGCCTTCCAGGCGGCCAAGCAGTCTGTTAACGTTAAGCTATTGTATCACTGACTGGGGTGGGGAAAGGCTTAAAAGGAATAAAGAAAAACTTTCTCAGACCTGTAGTCAATGCCTGTTAACTCCTCAATCGTTCTACTGAGGTCTTTTTTGATTAAACATTATTCTAGTTTACCTTCTTTTGAACAAGGAAAAGGTAAGCAACTTCTGCTTCTACCAACTAATATAGCAAGAGATCAAAGTAAGGTGAAGTCTTGGAGTATATTTTCTTTTGGGCAAGAGAAGCAGAGAACACAACCACCTCATGCTCAACAACAGAGGTTTACTTTTCAATTTTTACATCATTAGCATTTATGTTACAAAAGTAAACATTAATACTAACAAAAAAAAAGATAACCATCTACTTTGGTACATCCAAAGTTTTCACCTGGTTACTAGCAGGTCACAGCAGGACCGTAAAGGATAACCAAGTGGCTCACTGATGGTCAGCAAAAATTATAAAAACATTCCCACAGTCAGACATTCTCATAGAGATCATATTTTTCAGCTGCCACTGGCACAGTGACATTCTGGCTGCTAAGCAGCTGGCATGGCTGTAGGCTGCAGAGTACTGGCTGTATTGTGCCCAGAGTTGGCATTGCTATGGGGTGTCTCTCTCCTTCCTCTGTCCCATAGCAGAAAACCAGCACTTCAACTCTTATCTATGACAGGTTTGAGCAAGCAGCATGGGGATGCCAGGCAGCCTGGCAACACAGGAGACCACAGTGGCTTTGCCCCAGTGATGCATCCATTTGTGGGAGCAGAGCCTGGGTGTTCACTACACCTTCCTCGGCTCTCTTAACCCACCAACAACCCCCCCAGTTTAATGCTCTACCAGGCTTCAGGCTTCACTCGAGTGGGTCAGGGCACTTCATCCCCCCCTTATGGTCTGACAGAGATTGAGAACTAAAACAAAGGTGCTACATGTAAATCCTGTCACCAAGTTCCCTCTGCTGCAGCTCCATCCTTCCAATTAAGCCTTTCTGCTGCCATCCCCTGTCAGAAACACGAGCAGTCATGGAAAACACAATCAAACCTAGTATTTGGCTTTTTTTTTTTTTTTTCAATTCTTTTTCCTTAGAAAAGATATATAAGCTAAACTCGGCTCAGATTTTCAACATTAGATCCAGCTTAAGCCTGCCACAGTTCTTGTTCCCACCCCTGTGCTGTGGCTACACAGCAAGGCAGAGAGAAAGATCGGCAAGTACAAAGGCAGGAACAAGCAGAATTGCTTAGGGCAGTGATGCTACCAGAAAAACAGAAACAAAACAATGGCCTAAACGGACAAGCTATGCTGCAGGTGGCCCTGGGGCATCTGAAAGATACAAACAGCCATGCTCATTCCAAGATGTTGGTTGAAGCCTTATAGCTACATCTAGATATCAATACTAGTGACGGTGCACATCACCACATAAAAACAGAGAAGTGCAAATATATTAAAAACATCTCTACATTACTTTGTTGTTTCATTTAAGGAAGAATTAGGTCAAAATACCAAACACAGGGGTGTTTTGCATCCTACAGGTTTGAAATTGACGGTCTTTCACTAACTGAAGGTACAAAATTAATGGGGGTGAGGGGGGGAGAGAGATGATAGGAAATCAAGTTCAAAGGTTCAAAAAACTTCAGCACTATCTTGCAAAATATACTGCACTCAAAAAGTTACCCTGGTTCTGCAGTTCATCTAGATCCATGAACCTGCTGGGACGGGGATTAAAGCCCATTGCTGCCTCCATTTCCTTTTCCCTTTTTCTGCGTAGTTCTTGTTCACGCGCTCTCCTTGCTACTTCCTCTTGCAATTCATCCAGTTCACTCTTTAAAGGGACAAACATCTCCCCACCTTCCCCCAAAAAAAAACAGAAGAAAAAAAAAAGAGAGAAAATAGAGAGAGGAAAAAAGAAAAAGAAACATTTTTTGATGGTAAAATATCTTAAAGGATCCCTTAAAAGGCAAAGAAATATTAATGGAGAATACAATTAACATTAGAAAATAACAGACTGATCAAGCTAAGACCATAGAATTTCAGATCATGAATTTTGCTTTGTTAAATTTTCCTTTTAAAACCCTGCCCAAGCCATTTGGTCTCAAATTCCTTCTCTGTGTCAGTGACTGGCAGAAATGCTGCAGTATTGCTTCAAGATTCCCCACAGCACAGCCCATCTCTGGATTCACTGACCCAAGAAACAGCAAAAGAAACAGAGAGAATCAGTGGAAGAGATAACCCTAAGCTGATACTGAAATCTTGAGGCTTTTTACTGTGTTTATAATTTGTAAATAATTCTATGTCAAATTAGCCAGATCATTAGCTTTAGTACACTAAAATGGATTCCAACTGGGATGCTTTTTATCTAACTGCATAAGCAGATGAAAATAGGAGGAAAATAAAGCACATCAATATCCTAGTCAACGCAGTAGAAATCAATCAGTCACCACTCTCACTTCAAGTATGACCTGTATTCAAGTGTTTTCCCCCCTCACTTTCCCTTCCCCAGACATTATCTGGAATAAACTATTTGCTCAGAATGATAAATAATCAGAATGTAAATCTGCAGAAAAACTCAGCCTTAGCCCAAGCATCTTGTAAGTATCCATTTTCATTTATGACAATTTTGAATTTTGTATAGCATTATGAGCTTCTTTTCAGAACTTGTCAATCCTACTGTTATAAAGTATGAGTTACACTTAGGAAGATATTTTCCGCCCGTGGCAGAAAAATGAGGTATGGGAACAAACAGGAAAAATAGCTTTACTTTATCAGTTAAGTCAATATTCAAAAAAGATGCTAGAGCAACACAATCAAAGGAATATTCCAACAAAGTTTTTTGCAATCTCCTTTGGTAAATCTTATAATTCTATCTTGTAAAACCGTGTTACGTTCCTCAATGTTTCTTTCCCTTCCCTCATAATTTCACTGTGAAGATAAACATGCAGAAAGTAAAGAACAACTCCAATACAATTTACCTTGCAAAACCACCGCTACTGAGGAAGTGTATCTTACCATTTCCAGTGGTGTGTGGGCTGTTTGCCCAGCTCCCAATTGATGAAGTAGACTCCACTTCCAAGATGCTGCTACTGTGAGACTTTGGGATGTTACGCCAGGCAGGAACCAATCCACCGGCTCGCTTTGTATGAACGTCCCTCCAAGAAGAGAGTAATTATAGTTTACCATTTTACTAATCTCTCCAGAGTAATTGTATCTACCTTTTTCTTCAAAAATATTTAATTTTGCATTTTAATTTCATTTTAAAAAAGTTTGACATAAGAAAATCCTGGGGGGAAGAAAAAGTTAACAAGGGGGAGAACAATAATTCTAATCTCCTTCATAAGAGTATGCAATGCATATTAAAACTGTGGTCTGAGAGCTATACTGCAACAGATTCTTACAGCTGAAAATCTACTGTTCTGACCATAAACAGTCTCAGTTTGTGATTACCTGAAGCTTCCTAAGCCAAGGAGAGAAACACATTGTGCTGCCTATTTATTTTTGCACATAAATATTGCAAGCGTCTTGAAAAATTTCCATGAACGTCTCAAACTGAAAAAGTCAAAGATTTCTATACAAGACGATTGATTTCTGATTTTGTACAAGACTTCTATCAAGCAATGGTTTAGCTGAACCAAAAAGGCCTATGAGCTGTTCAAAGAACAAGCACAAAGTTTGATTTTTAGTTGAGTTTTTAAATCATAGGCTAAGGGTATGACTGTTTCAGATGCATCATTTTTAGTCAATGTTTTTCATTCGACTGAACTCCATTTCTTTTCCTTCTCACTAACGATAAGCTATCAACATACTGACAAGAAAAGGAACCAAACTCACTCAGATTCCTATTTCCCTTCTACTTCTCCCCTGCCCCAATAAACCTGTATTACAAGCTAGAAGTGTCATTTTGCATTTTCAGAAAACTGTTCTACACCATTATGTAACTACAAAAAAGCAAGCAAGACTTCGATCACTTCAAAAATGAAGTTTGTTGAAATCTACCTGTGGGTGCTTGAGCTTTCAGACAACGGCATGTCCAGACTAACTGGGCTGTTGCTGTTGCGTTCACTGCTTTCATAGCCAGACTCCATCCTCTGTATTAGATGAGGATGTTGATCCACCATAGGATGCTGGGTGCCCCGGCCCAGCACACCACGCTTGTATCGGACATTTGACTGGCTTGATCTCGTTTCTTGAGCAGTATGTTCCTTCACCTCATTCTCAATAAGCTCTTTACCTGTCAAGACAAAAGAACATAGCTTGGTAGAAGATCCAAGCTTCAATATCCAGCAAATCATCTATACATATCTTAGCTTCTCTACCATGCTTAAAACAGAAGCACTGCCTTTAAGTTCAGTGTAAAACTAGCAATATTAAGCAGAAAAAACCCCAATGCTTTTACAGCATTCCTGGTAATATTAAACAATAAGCTATTCAACAAATTTATTTTGAATCTCCTCTGTAGTATAACTTACCATATCCCCCCATAGCTAACAAAGTCTGTAGAGAAAATCCCTTCCTCCCTGTAACTATCTGTATTTGTACAACATCATTTTACAGTATACCCAACTATATTTTCCAGTTTATATTTGTTATTGTACTCTGTCATATCAGCTTCAAATGCTGCACTTTCTACATTGTTTATTTTGCCATTTACAAATTGATGAGGCTTATATAACATCAATTCACAGAGGACAGGAAAACTTTTTCTTTTTTTTTAATTCTTCCTTACTGATTTCACTGTGCATTCCCACTTGCCTCATTTGCTCTTCTTCTTTCCCTTCCCTGGTGCTGTGTTCTCTTCTTCCTTCATCTTTATGCTTCCCAATTCTTTTCAACCTTTAGGTCCTTCTAGTCTGTATGATCTGTCCCTCCCTCTCTCCAGGCCCCCAAATTTCTGCAACAGCATCCTCACTCACCACAACTCTACTGCTAGTCACACAAACCTCTTCCTTCTCATCCACACACTGTCCTTCAAGGACTTAAGACAGGAATGCAGCAGCTCCAGTAAGGTAACAGTATAAAAAGCAGGAACTAGTAAACATCATCTCTCTCCCCACCTTTACAGTTTCAGGAGTACCCTCCTCTTGATAGGGAGCAAAATAACTGTTACATTCATTTGTAGACTGGGGAAAGGGAAGCAGCAGGCAATAAAATATTTCCAAAGTTGTTTCACAACAGATTTTGCTACCTTCCAAAACAGCAAAGCTGAGGACAAAGTCTCTATGTAGAAGTTGCATAGCTGCTATGGTGTAAAATGGTCCCAGATAAATCATCACTGGCTACCAGGCTCTTATGCTCACAAGAACTCAGCATTGACACACAAGGTACTTGCTGCACCATAGTCTGAGCCATCATGCAAAAACAGCATGATGAGCCAGAGAAAAAAAACTCGAGATCAGTACAAAAGGCCATTCTAAGTGATGAACTTCCAGGTACTTAGCAGTCCAGCCCTGTGTCCATTTAAGTAGCACAAATAGTAAATGTTTCCCTTATGATTTCCTTACACATGAAATTCAGAACACAAAAAGCAAACAGTAGTATCATACTCATTCAACACGAATACCCACGCAGAAATCAGCCTTCAAGGACACAACTCACCACTGACCTAAATGCCATGTTCAAAATTTCACTTTCCTGCTTTACTTAAACAAAAAGGATAGTGGAGGATTATAAATTCCACTCATTCTGAAAGAAATATTTCTTCTCAACCTCTTACCTGTCTCTTCAGAGAAGGGGCTGAGCTGAGTGTAGCCACAATGTTTCCTCTTGTCTTTACTGAAGATGCTGTCTATATTCAGAGACTCTCTTTTGGGTCTCCAGGTTGGCCGGTACCTGCTAGATGAACTGGATTTAGATTCACTACTGGTACTCTCCACTTCCCAGTCTCGAGAGCGTGCAGACAGGCTTTTTGAGGGTCGTGTTCCTGCCTGATCCACACTACTCTCTCCACGAGGGGAATTCTGGATGGTTTGAGAAATCTGTTGTGGTCTGCTGTGGATCATATTGCTCACTGTCTCTTTAAATTCCCTCAGCCTGCTGGTGCTGTTGGATGGTTTGGGGGCAGTTCTGGGGGCTTGTTTCTCCTTCAAGGTTTCTCCTGCAGTTTACAGAGACAGCAAAAGCCACAAAAATAACTTCAGATTAAACTAGCAGCCCTACTTGCAGCATTTTCATGCAGACTTTGAAAAGTAAAAGACAACAAAAAAATCCCAACAAAATAAAAAAAAAAACCCACAACCAACATCCCCCAAATAAGAAATAAGCAGCAAAGGCAGGACAAAATACAGACAAAGATCTAAGAAACAAGGAAGGAAATACATGTACACACTGAGGATCTCAAAATCATGCAGAAAGAGATATTGATATTTGAAATAAAATAACATCTCTTGCCTTCACTATGGTATCCTGATGACTGAGCCTCATCTCCTTTTCGCCGAGACCGGCTAGAACTCCTCTTGCGGTCTGCCAGCGAGCTCTTTTTGGAAACATGCTTCTGATTGCACTCACTGTCAGTCAGGTGCCCTGGAAGGACAGAAGAACACAGCAGAGATGACAAGAGCCTTTGGACTGAGTGTGCTGCACACTAAGAGCAGCAGGGCTCTCCTGCTCCTTAGGAGTTGCAGACACAGCAATGCTAACTGGCAGGTTAGGGTACGTTTTTGTATCCAAAAGGTTTTGGTTCTGCCTTGGGGAGAGGAGGGTGTTCTGTTTTTAAGGTCATAAAAAAGCAATACAGCCCCTCCAAGGACTCTGGTTAATGAGAGCTCATCTGCAGGGAAAGGAAAGAGTTGACTCTGCCTTGTCTTCTAATAGTCTAAGGACACCACTTTCTTGCTGTTTGAATATTTTTTTCAGTTTTAATGACCATGAACGCAAAACTCCTGAGGACATCTTGCTTGACATTACTCTGTTGAACGAAGACTCAAACACATGAACGAGTTACCACATAATAATAAATTACTGCACATCATCAGCTGCTCTGCACTAACTATCCATCCGCACTCTCTTTGCCTGTAGCAAATACTAAGTAATCTGAGTTAGCTTAGTCTACAGGGAAGAAGTCTCAGTTGGCTCTCAAGGGCTAAGCCATCTAATTCACATCTGCCACAAGCTAAGAGCGTACACACAAACAAACCATCAACATGGATCAGCTGACACACAATAACGTTCCCTTACTACAGCTCATGTCTCTGAGTGCTAGTATTTTCTCTTGCACACAATTTATTCTCATTTCCTCACATCAAACATGAATTAAGAGTGTTTGACATCACAAGTTTTCTGTATTGCCTTTTTCTTAATGTTATGGCTCTCACACATTCACAGTCCTAAGCCTGCAAGCACAAACACACGCATGGCTTTACTCACGTGAGCAGTCCCAAGCAGAGATGCAGGATAAGAAGGGAATTTATGAATAAGCTACAAAGACTTTTCTCTAGCCTTTATATTACCAACTTTCGCCTTGCATAGGAAGACAGGAAAGGAAAATCCCTACTATCCAATGGTGGATTAACAGCCCCCAGACTGCATAGCTAGCTGTTCTGAGCCTTCCCACTCCCCAAGAAATCAACATAAGAATCACCAGCATTTAAAGCAGGTTCTACACATAAAATTGTACCTTCGACAGTTGAAAAAATAATTTACTACAACTGATACAAAGATACTACAATAAATGAGTGGAAAGGAATACAAATAACAAAAAGCAAGCTAAACAAGGCTCATATTTCTACTCGTTTGCAAAGTGGAGAGTGATTTTGTAGCCAAATTATTTAGAAACGAGCATTACACAAAAGAAAAGAAATTAAGGAAGTAAAAGAGAAATGTTGGCAGTGAAAATAGACGTGCAGTGTTTAGGTGACTGAGCATGAGTCAGTGCTTTGGGAGAATTATTATTTTTTTTCCTTCACAGCAAGGACTGTCACACATCTTTTAGGGACTGAAAAAAACATACACCTTGTAGTGGCTCCCCTCAAGATAGAGGAGGCTTATGTTTCACTTCAGAGTGTACAACTACTCTACATTTTTCTCCCAAAAGTTCTTTCAACTTGAAAGGAGTGCTTGGTTAGCATCCTTCAAGCACTGTAACAGAAAGTATTTAAAGACATTGAGCGCTACTGGAGCTAGCTTAGGGTCTGCATAGACTAATTAGAGCCCAACTTAGCCTTGTAGAATGAAGGCTGCTAGCTTTGCAGAAGTATCTTCTCCTCCTTCCATAAATCACAAATTTTGTCCTATTGTCACTGGACATTTAATAGCCATGGAGGAGATGCTGAGAAACAAAAGTTTGCAGGACACAGGCTTTGTTGTCTTTATCTGGACCCTCTAGAACAAAGACTAAATCCAACATAACGCATGAATATTGGAATTACAATCCCAAGAATATTAGCTAACACTTTACACTCTTCTTTTTTTTTTAACTCACTAAAATGCAAGCCAGGATTTCTATCTGCCCAATCATATGCTTAAAAGGTGTTCCTTGCTGAATGTATCACTTAAATACCTCATCTTTCAGAGGTGGGATGGCTTCATAAGCGAACAGTGATATTTAAAGGAAAAGTTTTTGTAGCGGTTTTGTGCGTGTCTAAGAATATGTTAGAGAAAAGAATGAAATCAAACAGATTAAGACAGAACGCCCCCTGCTCCCTCCCACTGAAATCTCAGTTGCATCAATAGGGCAACCAGAATACGCACATTTTTCTCAGCAGCACAGGTTGGTAGGAGCAAGAGAGGGCTTATGCAGCCACTCTTCATGCCTCCATTCTGAAGTACCTGGGTGCCTGAGGTCATACAACCCAATGGTGGTCCTTCCCCGGAGGACGATGTGGGACAGGGTCCACAATTTTCTGGGATGGAGTAGTGGGTAAATGGCCATTAAATGAAGAATCCTGCTCTTGCCCAGAACGATTCAGTTGACAGGTCAATGTGGATGGCTTCTTTATAGCCCCACGGATCAGCATTTGATGATTAAGCAGTTGTATGCGTTGGCAGACTGACTTTTTTGGAAAGGTTTTGGGTAGGTAAAAAAAAGGGGGAAATGCCCATACAGGTGGCCAGCTAAGGGGACAGACTGACTATAGCTAGGGCTGAATCGGGGAAGATGAGGACAACTGAATTTAAGTGGTGAGATGGGCTAAGCTGAAGGGAGTAACATAGGATAGAATCAGTAGGAGAAGGAAGAAAAAGAAAAGGAGAAAGTCACTAAAAATGACAGAACAAAAGGTTACATGCTGAACTTCATGCTTACATGTTTGCAACCACCCCCCACCCTCCTTTTCTGCTGACTTCTGCAGGGCAGGTTTTGCAGGGAGTAACCTAATCCAGTAACTAACACTTTTGCAGACTATATAAACAACATTCCACTATCATTTCCAATTTCATCTTCCTCATACTCTGAAGATTAACATAAATTATGTTTCCTCGTCACTCAAATTCTGCTCCAACTTTACCTTATTTCTCATGCTCTACCTAGGACTATGAATGGAACCTACAGTGTTAAGTATTCAGTAAAATATTAAAAGTACTGTCAGTCTATTTAAACCCATGTATTACAGTTACTTGGACCTCTGATGAAGAATAAAAGAGTACTGAAGAAAATAGACTTGAAACATTTTTCCAGATTTTTATGTGAAAAATATTTTTACCATAGATTGTTTCAAATGAACCAAATACGCAAATATCGTCACAATAAAAGAGAGCAGCTATTCTGCAACTAAAAGGACAAACTGCTATGACAGCTGTTGACATTCTGCTGCAACAAACAGTTGCTGATTCGACTGTTACATCATCTCAAAGTCCACTTAAGGTACAATAAAGTAACTTTTCAAACAGACTTAACATATCATATTTCTGATGCTTGAGAAGTCTGACCTTAACTCACGCACTACTTTTTCAGAAGTGATGTTGGAAGGTAGCGTATGCAGAAACAGGTTGACTAGGGTCACAGGGCATGAATAATAGAGGAGATCTAAGCCTTCAGACTTCCAGTTAACCTCTTTTCAACTTAAGAGTGTTCAGGCAGACTGTTCAGCTGCCCAAAGGAACACATATAGACTGTCTTCTCATGGCAGATTCTCACTTAACTTGCTTCCATAGCACAGCAGGAAATTATCTTACGCTCCTCCCTGGTGCAGTAAATACTACCAATACCCACTTGCACAGAAAGCCCTTAGTGCCCAAGCATGGGAGATTCTGGTGATGAAAGCACCTTTGCTAGACAGCTGCAACTCCTGAAACGAAGTAACTGCCCACAGATGAGTAAGTAGCACACACAACACTTACCAAACAGTACGATGACACTGTACAGACTCCAACTTACAGAATTATTTAACAAAGAGAGCAGGTGGGATTGCAGATAACAGAAAACACAGCTGTAAATGTTTGTCTGGCTAAATACAAGTCTACAAAAGCCAACAAGACACTTAATTATGCTTATTTTTTTGTGAATGCCAATGGCTTATTACAAACAAAAAACACTTAGGATACTAAACACTGTTTACTATTCCGCTATAGAGATTTTTTTCCACGGGAATCCACTGCAGTCATATTTAATGACAATGATCACTCAGATACTATGGTATCTGCTACCTGTGTCTCTGCTGCTTTGTGAAGCTGCATCGTTCTCCACATTGTAGATGACTGTCCCCTGCGAGTCAGAGGAGAAGTGACTGACCACAGACTCATGGTGCACCTGTTTATAAGGATAGCTGTCTGTAGAGGAATCTGTCCTGGTATCACTCGAGATGGAAGGTTCTCTCCCTAGGGAAGGAAGGAATGTCAGATTTCAATCTTTTGGGGCTATTATAAAATTCAGGAAAGGCTAAAAAAAGGAAACAGGAATGGAACAGAGGAAACTATCCAGGAGTTAACAAAAAAACAGAGTACCAAACTCGGATTCAAGGACACCAGAGCTTATGGGAAAGGTCCTCTCCTTTAGAAATGGGGAGAGAGTGTCATTCCTTCTGCAAACCTTTATTGCTTTCTATCTGATAACTCTAAATTTACCAAATTCTTTTGTTATGCAAAATTAAACTACGTCCATTGGACTGAAAGTACACATTAGTACCACACTGAAATTATTCTTCATTAAATTTCAACACTGTCAAGTGTAATTAAAATATGAAATACACTGCTTCAAGGGAAGCCAAAGTTAAAAAATTAGTCAAGTACAAAATATTAATACGGGTAACAAGAATATCACAAGTTATAATAATTCACACATTTCATCTATTATGAATCAAAAGCTTATCTAGTGAAAATTTATACTGAATTATATTATCTAAAGCAAAGTAACCCGCTCCTTCTCAAGAAGCTAGCATTGGCCCACTGCACAAGTGGGATTCTGAAAAGGATGAAGCAACATGATTCAAATTCAGTACAGTAATTCCTAAACTTATTAAAAGACGAGAGGAAGACAACTTCCTCCCACTGCTTTTACTTTACGTAACAGTAAAAATCTGAACAGTTTGAAGACTGTTGGCCATTTTATATGTGATGTATACTCTCCTAAATACTCCGGATATTAATTTCATACTCGTATCACAGTGGAGAAATTAAAGAAAAAAAAAATCAAAGAAAAAAGTAATTCTTATGTTTAATCACAAACAGCCTGAGGGCATGTCATGTTTTCAGTGAGGGCAAGTCCTGTAGTTGATATCCTATTTCAGGATGCCTAACAACTCTTGAAGTCAGAAACTTCCCTCCATCTCCTTACTGGTTAAAAATCTTACTGGTTTAAAGAAATATATAGTACAGCTGTTAATGGAGATAAGAGTCACAGAAAGAATGGTGAATGTAGGCAACAGGAATCACTGTTGTGGAACTGAGTACTAGAAAACAATTTGTAAACTGAAGTGTTTATTCAATAGAAAAATCAAAAACATTAAGAGGAGTTGTTTGTGCTTAGCTTCACGTTTCGTACCAGCACCTTTGACAATCTTTCCTCCATAATTTCTAGGATCAGTTCTTGATGTGATTAGATGCATTTATCAGATTTCCTTGATAAAAGTTCAGGCACAAAATTGTGATTAACAACTTAAGAATAAGAAACTTCTATTCATTTCTGAATTATGGGCTGTGGATATCTTATAACACTGAGGAATCCAGAAGAATCTGGAGTTAAACTTAGTGAGAGACAAAAAGTCAATTCTGAAAAAGGTGTATTAGGGTAGAAAATTCCAGATTATCAACAAGGCTAGAAAAAAATTCACTTCTACTTAAAAAGAGTATGTGTAGGGTATGATTTCTCCTGGCACTTCAACCTACAGTATCTCACAAATTCTCTCAAGAGCTCGGACTCAATGTTGAACACTGCAGACTACAGGAGTAGGCCTTCACCAAGTGTTTTTGAAATGAAAGAGCAGGTTACTCACTATAGCCTTCTAAATTTTATCTGAAAGGAAACACCTTTTTATATATATATTTTTGTATTCAGCTTCCTGAAGTCATTTTAGAACACAATAATATTGGATAGTGCACAGACAGTGTGCAGAAGGGTTATCTACGTATCTCCTGGAGATCAAACAGCAGAACAGCAAGGCAAATTTACAGCGTGTATTGACCTGAAGCTTGTAGAAGAGCTCACAACTGATATATAGCACTGAAAGCCCTCCCATCCCTCCTCCAGACTTCTGAGTTGTTTTTTTTCCCCGAACAGGAAGATAGGTTTATAAATTGCAAGGCATCTCGTCAAGTGAGAAGTGAAGGTCGTCTCACCAGTATTTTTATTTGGATTTATTTTAAGAGGAGATGGAGATTTATTTCATTACTAGTAGACTGTCAACACATAAATAAGGAGACAGCAGATGTTCTCTACAGATTCATTGACCAGGAAGCATAAAGTTAGCTATTGGCTAGGAAAACAATAAAATAATTCTTGGAATTGCAGTTGTATAAATAGGCTAAAATCCTGGAAGGAAGGTTGTATTTCTGGCTTTAGTCTCGCCTTACTGTTCTTGGCAACTTATAAACCCATCTTTAAAGTCAGGGTATTCTCTGCAAAAATCCAAAAATAGAAACAATCTTCTTTTCCAAATCTGTTACAATATAAACTTAGACTCAGTTTTTATTTTCACCTCATCTGGATTTCAGTTGCATATCTTTCTCAGAATTTATCTATAACTCTTTAAAGAAGGCCTCAGTCCCCAAAGGTGTGACGAAACGTCTAAAACTTCAGTAAACCATCAGCCTGTTGAGATCACTACTGATATCTTAAGCAGACCAAGTTCTAATTTCTGATTTGGACATATCTTTCTAATTCAGCAGACTACCACTAGTGCAAAGAATTCAGGAAGTAGCAATATGTTGAAGGGCTCCGAGATGTTAAATGCTACATATCTATAGCTGTAATCTTTTCTGATGCAAAATAGACCATGAAAAATGAAGAAGTAAACATGATCTATGGGCATAAGCCTTTGCCAATCCCTTCTCCTTCAGTCTCCCACAAATCACTTCATCTCTCTTGCATTGCTTTATCTGAGTAAAAGACAAGTCAAAGACTGAAGTTAAGTAGCACTGATTCTGTGTCTCATTTTTTATTTTTAATAAAATGGTTTTCTTCCCCTTTCCCCCACATCCCTTCACCATCCTAGCAAAGGACTAATTTATAACATTTCCTTAATGTTTCCCTTAATGTTTCTTTCCCCTAACTTCCCTCCTGAGTTTAATTCTGCAGCTTCCTTTAATTTCTATGTGTTCGTGCATCTCTGCTCTCATTCCCTTCCTGTTAAAACTGCTGATGGATTTATGAACTCAGTCATTGAATTCATCAGTCATTGTTCCTCTCTATGTCCATGCCACAACAGGTCCTTCAGGTTTTGTTTTTTTTTCCCCCCAGCTTCTTTCTCCAAACCTTTTTGGAAAAGATTACTACCCAAACAATCAACAGAGTCTTGGACTGAGAGAGCAGTTCAAAGGTGAAACACTGGAATTCCTCTTCAGAATTTTAGATCAGCTTTGACAAGCAACAAGGATCCCTGCTAACAAAAACACATCCAAAACAGAAGAAAAGCTTTTTACACGCAGCATTACAGCATAAAGGCATAAGGTATAGTCCAGACTGCTTACCCGAGTCTTCACTATCATAGCAAGTCCTGCTATATTGCTGTAAATCCACTTGAGGGGGCAAGTCTTGTATTGACACTGGAGTTCCTCTTGGATCTGCATACAGCAGCAGCAAAGGCTGATAATGACCCTTAATGCACTTTGTCACAACATCTTTCCATTTTGGACCAATCTGAATTAGAACAACAACAAAAAGAAATGCACGAAAAAGGTTTTCTATCATCATGTTCTATAATAAGCTCTCTTTTTTCCCCCCTCATAATTCTTTAAGAGTTTGATTTTCCACCAACATTCTTTAACTCCTTCTATATCCAGCATTGAACTGGACTCACCAAGAAAACTGACTGCTAGTCACATGTTGGAAAACATATCAAAAAAGAATATGAATTAGGGGTATGAACTCTAAAATGTAACTGAAAGTAAACTGTCTCTTAAAGTTGGCATTTCCATTCCTCTTTCTGAGATTCACCTTAATCGAGAAAAAAACGTACCACTTGTGACACCAGCTGGTCAAGAATACACCCTTGGAACACCACAGAACCAACTCAACCAAATCAAGGTATCCACCATCTTACAAATAAAGAAATTACAATTCCTGCTAAAAATATGACTATGAAAATAATCCTTCCCGTTTGGATTTTTTTTCTCCATAAAAAGTTTTTCAACCTCTGAAATGCTCTAACTTTGCATCAGTCAAAAAAAAAAAGAATTTGTTAAAATTTCTACACTCATCAGCATAAACAAAATTGACAACAGAAGATGTCAACAGCATGACAGCAAATTCAAGTCAAAGCTAACCACTTTGGTCTGCAAATATTGCTGCTGTTACAGAACCTCTGCAAGCATTTTGATAGGCCAGGCAATAATTCATACAGTTATATTCGTATCAGAACTCGTCCCCATGTACTAATACAGGTTTCACGTAATACACTGAACATCTACTCCAACAAATCTGCTCTATACATGAGTATTCTACTGAAACACTGCAGTACCTATCCTTGGAAAAGCTTTGCTGCAAAGAAACGTGACTGAACAAATGCAAGAATTAGAGTTTTCCCTTTGAGACTATGCTTGGCATGACTACAGGAGAAAATTTTCCTCTCTCATCTTTGTGCTTCCATGACTAGAAGGAATAAAAGGAGAGTGGTGTGAAATAATGCCAAACAAATTAATGGGATGTAATAATGGTGTGCCAAGATCCCAGCACTGGTATCTTTAACATCAAGGACCTCATGCTTGCTGAAAAGGTTAAAAAAAGCACTAACAGAAGCAGCAGAAAATTTGTTGTTGGCAGCAACCACTAAGACAGACTGGCATCTAGATACTTCAAAAAAGAAGCCAAAAAGCAGGCACCACTTGTCAGCAAGGGAAAG